TGATAATACTCTGATTCACACAGCTGGTGGTGTCATATCTTGGTTTGAAGAGCACACAGACAAGGTCTCGCACCTTCTGTTTCCATAATTTTGTCCAACCCCTGTATATATACAGGAGGAGGGTTTTTTTTTCTATAAATAAAACCTCAAACGTAGATAGGCAACTTCTTCACTGTACACATCAGTACATATTTTTTCGTTTCCTGTTCTATTGCCTTTGGCTGTGATATTTCCAGCTTAGGACTCAGTGGAGTTCCACATAATAACCCAATGGGATTTATTTTATAAAGTATGAGCTGTCCTTGCCTTCCTCCCCGTTGACGTCAATGCAACATTTTTACACACGCCAGATAATGAAAACACTTTTCTACCCATGTATCCTCTCATTCATGTCTCCTAATCCCTCTCATTTTCCGTTCCCAGCCAATATTTACTAAAATAGCAAAAGGAGTCCAGCGGTGCCGAGGAAACATGAGACGTGGGGGCCGAAGAGGAAAAAAGCCACCTCTGACGCTGCTTACCATAATCCATCTCCCATCATCTCCAACATTAAGATTCTGGTCATCCGTCTTCTACCTTCATCTTGCCTAGAGATACCGGCCATGCTGCTGCTCTCGAAGAGGCCGACATGTCTAGTCATATATTGCCTAAGCAACTGTTGGGTGTCTAGAAGATGGTGGCACCATGTAGTTTCAGAGGAACCAGGAACCTCATGGAAAACCAATTGGTGGTAAAACCGGCTGGAATTAAAACCCAACTCTAGCCCATTTATTTATTACTCTTATATATATACCTGTGTATATATATTAATAATTATATTATAAATAAATAAATATTATTAAGCATCTGTTTGCTTGTTTGTTCGTTTTGTTTGTATTTTATTTTTTTATTGGAAGAAAAAAATTGCAGATCAGCAAAATGATCACCAGAAAATCGTTCTCTGCTTCCATCCCTCTTACATTTTAATTCTATAATTTAAAATGACATATAAACATCAAGCAGAGGACATGTTGATATAAACCACTCAGTCATCACATTACGAGCGCCCACCATAAACCGATCGGAGCATGGACCTCTGAAGGTACGCCGTGGTATGTAGCACTAAGTCGTCAATAGCAGATCCTTTAAGTCCTGTAAGTTGTGAGGTGGGGCCTCCATGGATAGGATTTTTTTCCAGCACATCCCACAGTTGCTCAATTGCATTGAAATCTGGAGAATTTGGAGGTCAAGTCAACACCGATGTTGTGTTCCTCAAACCATTCTTGAATTCATCAGACCAGACCACCTTCTTCTATTGCTCTGTGGTCCAGTTCTGATGCTCTCGTGCCCATTGTAGGACTTTATGTGGATATGGGCCAGCATGGATAGCCTGACTGGTCTGAGGGTACACATCCCCATACACAACAAACTGCGATGCTCTCTGTGTTCTAACACCTTTCTATGAGAACCAGCAATCACTTTTTCAGCAATCTGAGCTCCAGTAGCTTTTCTATTGGATTGGACTGCACGGGCCAGCCTTCCCTCCCCACCACCACCAATGAGCCCCTCCCCTACCTCCATCAATGAGTCTTCCCTCCCCACCTCCATCAATGAGTCTTCCCTCCCCACCTCCATCAATGAGTCTTCCCTCCCCACCTCCATCAATGAGCCTTCTCCCCCACCTCCATCAAGGAGCTGTCCCTCCCTATCTCCATCATTGAGCCTTCCCTCACCTCCTCTATCAATAATCCTTCCCTGCCCTCCTTCATCAATAAGCCTTCCCTCCGCACCTCCAGAAATGGGCCTTCCCTCCCCAACCTCCATCAATGAGCCTTCCCTCCCTCATCCATCAATAAGCCTTCCCTCCTCATCCATCAATAACCTCCCCACCTCCATCAATGAGCCTTCCCTACTCTTATCCATCATTGAGCCTTCCCTCCCCGCCTAAATCAATAAGCCTTCCCTCCCCACCTCCATAATTGAGCCTTCCCTCCCCTCATCCATCAATAAGCCTTCCTCCCCACCTAAATCAATGAGCCTTCCCTCCCCACCTCCATCATTAAGCCTTCCCTCCCCTCCTCCATCAGTAAGCCTTCCCTCCCCAACTAAATCAATGAGCCTTCCCTCCCCACCTCCATCATTGAGCCTTCCCTCTCCTCCTCCATCAATAAGCCTTCCCTCCCCACCTAAATCAATGAGCCGTCCCTCCCCACCTCCATCAATGAGCCTTCCCTCCCCTCATCCTTCATTGAGCCTTCCCTCCCCTCATACTTCATTGAGCCTTCCCTCCCCACCTCCATCAATTTGAAAAAAAGAATGTCCGGAACTGCACAATCACGTATATATATATGTAATTTTGCGCATCCGTGCCGCCCTGTAGCTGTATTTCTGCTATAGGGCAGCACAGAACTGGTTAAATTTGTATTTTTTTTTTTCCAAAAATGGAATCACAAGGACTGAATATGTTCAGAACATTCCCCTGTACATGAGAACAGGTCACCCCTCCCCCCCTTCCTGCCAATATGTATTCTCAGTTGTTGACAATGCTGATCCAGAAACCCTATGAAGAGCTGGATGAATGTTCTCCTGATTTTCAGGTGTCGTTGTCTCTATAAATGAAGGGATTGCGCATTTTCGGGAGGCCGTGGTTAGTAACGCTTCCGTCCTTGGAGAAGAAACACTTAGTGTTGATCCAGAAGCAGCAGAAAGTACTTCTGGACTGAGAACTCTGGAGGGAAATGTTCCTCACACCTTCATCCAGGTCCTCATCATTTCATTCCATAAAGTATTTTTTATTGTCTTTAGGGCACCTCTGGCATGCCGGGATGTGTTTTCTCCTCCTTGTAGCATTTGGAAAAGAATATTTCTTCTCACAATATTCACACTATATTCTTTTCCAAATGCTACAAATTGCAGCTTTGCTCTCAGCAGGAATTGCTCCGTGGAAATGTTTCCAAACTCTAGATATCGGTCTCACCATTTTTTACTGAGAGGAGGAAAAGAAAAGCCAATTTACTGAGCAGACGAGAAGGAAACATTATGCTGGGATGGTGGAGAACATTCATCGGGATCATTGAACTAAAGACTAACGAATTAGTCGGACAAATTCCCCCTCTTATCTGTCAATGAAGGCCTAAGAGGACAGAAACGATCATCTACTGTATCCCAACAATCACCCAACTGTGGGTGGTACAAGATAGAGCCCACAAGCAACCTAAACTGGGGCCTTTCCCCTGCAGTGCCCCCTAGTGACAGAAATGCCTATTTCTCTTGTCTGAGGCCTACATTGAGAAGTACGGTGTTACTTGAATTGTATTCCAGGATTTGCTTGTCATCAGCTGAGAGAACTTGCAATAATTTAAGATTTTACATAAAGTTTCAGAAATATTTCATTAAGGTCTTCATGTTATATAGTTTGAACACCATGTCATAGATATGTTACTTATCATTATAAAGCAAAATATTCCGCACTTCTCTCTTTTTGTTTCAATTTTTCAATAACAAAACAAAACACAGCTTTGGAAAAAAAATGGAAAAAACAGTCCCCTCCCCTCAATTTGTTTACTTTTTTTCCAGGCATTCCCATCTCTACTTTTCCATTTTTGTCATTATTGGTTCTTAGCAGGGCTTTTTTTTTTTCTCAGAGGTAGGTAGGGGGTGGAATCAAGCTCTACCAGCCTCTGAGCATCGTCTCTTGGTTCCACCCCCTACCCACCTCTGAGCACCATCTCTTGGTTCCACCCCAACCCACCTTTGAGCACCGTCCGTTGGTTCCACCCCTAACCCACCTCTGAGCACCATCCCTTGATTCCACCCCCTTCCCACCTCTGAGCACAGTCCCTTGGTTCCACCCTCTACCCACCTCTGAGCACCATCTCTTGGTTCCACCCCAACCCACCTCTGAGCACCATCCCTTGATTCCACCCCCTTCCCACCTCTGAGCACAGTCCCTTGGTTCTACCCCCTACCCACCTCTGAGCACAGTCACTTGGTTCCACCCCTGATACACCTCTGAGCACCGTCCCTTGGTTCCACTTTTGACCCACCTCTGAGCACCATCCCTTGGTTCCACCCTTGACCCACCTCTGAACACCGTCCCTTGGTTCCACCCCGACCTACCTCTGAGAACCGTCTCTTGGTTCCACCCTTGACACACCTCTGAGCACCGTCCCTTGGTTCCATCCCCTACCCAACTCTGAGCACTGTCCCTTAGTTCCACCCCCTACCCACCTCTGAGCACCGTCCATTGGTTCCACCCCAGACACACTTCTGAGACCCGTCAATTGGTTCCACCCCCTACCCACCTCTGAGCACCGTCCCTTGGTTCCACCCCCTACCCACCTCTGAGCACCGTCCCTTGGTTCCACCCCCAACCCACCTCTGAGTACCATCCTTGGTTCCACCCCCAACCCACCTCTGAGTACCGTCCCTTGGTTCCACCCCCTACCCCCTCTGAGCAGCATCCCTTGGTTCCACCCTCTACCCATCTCTGAGCACTGTCCCTTGGTTCCACCCCTGACCCACCTCTGAGCACCGTACCTTGGTTCCAACCCTACCCACCTCCGATCACCATCCCTTGGTTCCACCCCCTACCCACCTCTGAACAGCATCCCTTGGTTCCACCCCCTACCCACCTCTGAGCAAATTCCTTTTTCTTTTTTTTTTAATCTGATGGAATTTCGGTGCCTGTTAAGTGGTACATTGGTTCTATTGGGTTTTTTTTTGTCCTGATCATAAAGCTCATGAGCTCAGCGCCACCGCCGCACACGACATCGCAATCACGTTATTTTCCTTTGATAAGCGAGCGAGATATTCAATGATTATTATTATTTTATTTTTTTTAGTGATTGTTCTTATAAAACTGATTTATCAGAGGAATGTGTGTCACAGAAATCGCAAATTTTAACCCACGTCATCCTGACAACGCCTTTTCTTTTTCAGTGCCACCTATCAGTGCTGCCAATCAGTGCCACCTATCAGTGCCAGTAAGTGCCCCCTATCAGTGCCATATATGAGTGCTGCCTTTCAGTGCCCATCAGTGCCACCTAACAGTGCCAGTCAGTGCCGCCTATCAGTGCCGCATATCAGTGCCATATATGAGTGCTGCCTTTCAGTGCCCATCAGTGGCACCTACTAGTGCCTCCTCATCAGTGCAGCCTATCAGTGCCCATCAGAGCAGCCTATCAGCCCATCAGAGCAGCCTATCAGTGCCCATCACTGCAGCCTCATTAGCGCACATCAGTGAAGGAGAAAAATCACTTATTTACAAAATGTTATAACAAAAACTAAGAAAAAAACGTTTTTTAAAAAAAGAATTTTCAGTTGTTTTTGGTTTGTTTAGCAAAAAATAAAAAAACCCGAGGTGATTAAATACCAGCAAAAATAAAGCTCTGTCACAAAAAATGATAAAAATTTCATCTGGGTACAGTGCTGCATGACCGCACAATTGTCATTCAAAGTGTGACAGCTGAAAGCTGAAAGCTGAAAAGTGGCAGAATAGAAGTGCCCGGTAGGCAGGAAGGGGGTAGAGGTGTCCGGTAGGCAGGAAGGGGGTAGAAGTGCCCTGTAGGCAGGAAGAAGGGGGTAGAAGTGCCCGGTAGGCAGGAAGGGGGTAGAAGTGCCCTGTAGGCAGGAAGAGGGTAGAAGTGCCCGGTAGGCAGGAAGGGGGGTAGAGGTGCCTGGTAGGCAGGAAGGGGGTAGAAGTGTCCGGTAGGCAGGAAGGGGGTGGAAGTGCCCTGTAGGCAGGAAGGGGGAAAGTGCCCAGTAGGCAGGAAGGGGGTGGAAGTGCCCTGTAGCAGGAAGGGGGTAGAAGTGCCCGGTAGGCAGGAAGGGGTAAAAGTGTCCGGTAGGCAGGAAGGGGGTAGAAGTGCCCTGTAGGCAGGAAGGGGGTAGAAGTGCCCGGTAGGCAGGAAGGGGGTAGAAGTGCCCTGTAGGCAGGAAGGGGGTAGAAGTGCCCGGTAGGCAGGAAGGGGTAGAAGTGCCCTGTAGGCAGGAAGGGGGTATAAGTGCCCTGTAGGCAGGAAGGGGGTAGAAGTGTCCTGTAGGCAGGAAGGGGGTAGAAGTGCCCGGTAGGCAGGAAGGGGGTAGAAGTGCCCGGTAGGCAGGAAGGGGGTAGAAGTGCCTGGTAGGCAGGAAGGGGGTAGGAAGTGCCCTGTAGGCAGGAAGGGGGTGGAAGTGCCCTGTAGGCAGGAAGGGGGTGGAAGTGCCCTGTAGGCAGGAAGGGGGTAGAAGTGTCCGGTAGGCAGGAAGGGGGGTAAAAGTGTCCGGTAGGCAGGAAGGGGGTAGAAGGCCCGGTAGGTAGGAAGGGGGTGGAAGTGCCCGGTGGGCAGGAAGGGGGTAAAAGTGTCCGGTAGGCAGGAAGGGGGTAGAAGTGCCCGGTAGGCAGGAAGGGGGTAGAAGTGACCCGGTAGGCAGGAAGGGGGTAGAAGTGCCCGGTAGGCAGGAAGGGGGTAGAAGTGCCCGGGGACAGGTAGGGGTAGAAGGGTCCTGTAGGCAGGAAGGGGGTGGAAGTGCTTGGTAGGCAGGAAGGGGTAGAAGTGCCCGGTAGGCAGGAAGGGGGTAGAAGTGTCCTGTAGGCAGGAAGGGGGGGTGCAGGAAGGGGGTAGTGCCCGGTAGGCAGGAAGGGGGTAGAAGTGCCCGGTAGGCAGGAAGGGGGTAGAAGTGTCCCGGTAGGCAGGAAGGGGGTGGAAGTGTCCGGTAGGCAGAAGGGGTGGAAGTGTCCTGTAGGCAGGAAGGGGGCAGAAGTGGTAGGCAGGAAGGGGGTAGAAGTGCCCGGTAGGCAGGAAGGGGGTAGAAGTGTCCGGTAGGCAGGAAGGGGGTAGAAGTGTCCGGGGGGCAGGAAGGGGGTAGAAGTGTCCGGTAGGCAGGAAGGGGGTAGAAGTGTCCGGGGGGCAGGAAGGGGGTAGAAGTGTCCGGTAGGCAGGAAGGGGTAGAAGTGTCCGGGGGGCAGGAAGGGGGTAGAAGTGCCCGATAGGCAGGAAGGGGGTAGAAGTGTCCGGTAGGCAGGGGGGCAGGTAAGGGGGTAGAAGTGCCCTGTAGGCAGGAAGGGGGTAGAAGTGTCCCTGTAGGCAGGAAGGGGGTAGAAGTGCCCGGTAGGCAGGAAGGGGGTAGAAGTGCCCGGTAGGCAGGAAGGGGGTAGAAGTGTCCGGGGGGCAGGAAGGGGGGTAGAAGTGTCCGGTAGGCAGGAAGGGGTAGAAGTGTCCGGGGGGCAGGAAGGGGGTAGAAGTGCCCGATAGGCAGGAAGGGGGGGTAGAAGTGTCCGGGGGGCAGGAAGGGGGTAGAAGTGCCCCGTAGGCGAGGGGTTAATGGAAACCTCGAGTGATTTCTCTCACGGTCCCCTGGTGGTGGAGCCGGGAGACGTGTCAGCGCCAAACGCTAAAACCCAACGCCTCTCCAGCGCACACCGCCCCGCGGAATGAGAACTTTGAAGCAGATGGCGGCTGGAGTGACTGACGGCCGACTTGCTCTCATGTCTGATGATACAGATGGCAGATTCTCCGATGCTCCTGTCCGTTCCACGGCCTTGGGTTGTCTAACCTAAATAATGGGTGTCCGGGGCGCTCTGGACCTTTCTATAATAATAATCATTGGTGTCAGTGGGAGGAATAGTGCCCCATCATTGGTGTCAGTGGAGGAATAGTGCCCCCATCATTGGTATCAGTGGGAGGAATAAGTGCCCCATCATTGGTGTCAGTGGGAGGAATAGAGCCCCATCATTGGTGTCAGTGGAGGAATAGTGTCTCATTATTGGTGTCAGTGGGAGAATACTACCCCATCATTGGTGTCAGTGGGAGGAATAGTGTCTCATTATTGGTGTCAGTGGGAGGAATAGTACTCCCATCATTGGTGTCATGGGAGAATAGTGCCCCCATCATTTGTGTCAGTGGGAGAATAGTGCCCCATCATTGGTGTCAGTGGGAGGAATAGTGTCCCCTCATTGGTGTCAGTGGGAGGAATAGTGCCCCATCCATTGGTATCAGTGGAGGAAGAGTGTCCCATCATTGGTGTCAGTGGGGGAATAGTGCCCCCATCATTGGTGTCAGTGGGGGGAGGAATAGTGCCCCGTCATTGGTGTCAGTGGGAGGAATAGTGCCCCATCATTGGTGTCAGTGGGAGGAATAGTGCCCCATCATTGGTGTCAGTGGAGGGAATAGTGCCCCATCATTGGTATCAGTGGGAGGAATAGTGCCCCATCATTGGTATCAGTGGGAGGAATAGTGCCCCATCATTGGTATCAGTGGGAGGAATAGTGCCCCAATCATTGGTGTCAGTGGAAGGAATAGTGCCCCATCATTGGTGTCAGTGGGAGGAATAGTGCCCCAAGGCCGGAAAACGGCAAGCAAAGGGCCACAGTTTGCAGAGGACTGGTCTACAGAGGAGTTTTTCGGGAATGGTATATAATGAGCGGCGCGAGGCTCCTCTCTTCCTGGATCTGGAACAAACGCAGAGCTGTGACGGAAGCCGAGTTTAGAATTTGGGCGTTCAGCTCCATGTTCAGAGCCGCCGTACTCCTTCTATAGACGCTCCGGCAGATTCCGGCCTATAAATATTCCATGACATACCGCCATCCATCCAGCCCGGGTGTCACTGGAGACGAGGCCGCCACTTCAGCCGTTTGTGCTTCTCCAGGAAATGACAGCTTTCTCCGCAAATGGAGGGAAAAGAAACGTCTCATTCAAAGAGGAGATTGCAGCTCCCGGGGTCCCCCATTGTGCCGGGCCAGGCGGGGGACCTATGAAAAGGCGGTTGTCACGCCCCGGCGGGTGTTGTCAGGGGAACGCGGATCGCCTCGGAATCTCCACTCACAGATCACAGAAGTGGCCACTTTACTAAGGACGCCCCGCTAAAGGAGAACTCCGGGAGGAAAGGAAAGATACAAATTAATGAACTTTGTATTCATGAATAAGTTATTGAGGCTGAGCTTACACTTGTGGCCTGGGGGGCGGTAAAAGCAGGCAATCGAGTCATGTATTTACCTCCCCTTAATTAGCTGTAAAGGCAGCCGGACAGCGCGGGTGCACAATGCTGATTTGCAAGAAATATATGTCGGTGGGTGACGCTGCCCGCCGAAAACGAGACCCATTCAAGTTAATGGGAACACGTGCCAAATATTGCCTCTCTCCGCCTAAACCAGTGCCCTCTGAAAAGTGATTCGCCGGAGGTCACTCTTCAGAGGGCCATGCATGTCTAAATCAGCTGAACCTGCCACACTCCTCCCCCAGCCCATCAAAGCCCACCCCTTTTATATATATATCCAATTTTGGCAATAACATTTCTAAATCTAATATTATATTTCTGAAAGCAGAGCCTGTAGAATAAAAAAGGTAATAATTGCACATTTTTTATGTCACATGATGTTCGCGCAACTGTTGCCCTTCAGAGGAGAATTTCCCCCCCCCCCCCCCCCCCCCCCAGAGGATTTTCCCCCTCCCCTCCTCAGAGGATTTCCCCCTCCCGTCCCCCCTCCAGAGGATTCTTTCCCCCCTCTCTTCCCCCCTCCAGATGGATTTCTCCCTCCCTTCCCCCCTCCAGAGGATTTCCCCCCTCTCTTCTCCCCCCCAGAGGATTTCCCCTCCCTTCCCCCCTGCAGAGGATTTCCCCCTCCCTTCCCCCCTGCAGAGGATTTCCCCACTACACCCCCCCAGAGGATTTCCCCCCTCCCTTCCCCCCCCTGCAGAGAGGATTTCCCCCTCCCTTCCCCCCTCCAGAGGATTTCCCCCCCTCTTCCCCCCTCCAGAGGATTTCCCCCCCCTCCCTTCCCTTCCCCCCTCCAGAGGATTTCCCCCTTCCCTTCCCCCCCCAGAGGATTTCCAGCCCCCCCTCTCTTCTCCCCCTCCAGAGGATTTCCCCCCTCCCTTCCCCCCTCCAGAGGATTTCCACCCTCTCCTTCCCCCCTCCCCCCCTCCAGAGGATTTCCCCCCTCCCTTCCCCCTTCCAGAGGATTTCCCCCTCGTCTCTCCCCCCCCAGAAGATTTCCCCCGCTCCCTTCCCCCCTCCAGACGATTTGCCCCCTCCAGAGGATTGCCCCCTCCCTTCCCCCCTCCATAGGATTTCCCCCCCTCCAGAGGATACACCCCCCCCCCCCCAATTCCTGACCGGGCCATTTTTTGCTACTTTAACTGACAATTGCGCGGTCATCGCAACGCTGCACCCAAATTGGGATTCACGATCCTTTTTTCTTTGGGTGGTATTTGATCCCCTCTGCACTTTTTTTGAGCTATAAACGCAAGTCAAAAGACCGACAGTTTTGGAAAAAAAAAACTATATTTTTGACTTTTTGCTATAAAACGTTGCAATAAAAAATTTTTAAAAATCAAATTTCGTCAGTAAATTTCGGCCAAACTGTCTCCCGGCTGCACCATGTCTGCGCTAAAAATTTAAAATCCCGATACGTGGAAATTAATCGGTTTACGTGGAAGTGTTTATAAGCGTCTACAAATGGCGGGATAGATACTGGGATTTTTTTTTTTATATATACTAGTAATGGCGGCGATCAGCGACTTATAGCAGGGACTGCGGTGGCATTCTGACCACTGGGGGGGGGGGAAATGACTTGGTGTCACTGACATCCCCAGTGACACAATACAATGAACGGTGCTAATAAAAAGCACTGACACTGTACTAATGGCATAAGGATAAAGCGAGCGCTCATAGTTCAGCTGCTGGAACACTCTAAGGAATCACTGGACCTTTAAGCAAGAATAATAATATATAGTGCAGCGCTGGTGTATTAATTAAAAAAGAACATGCTAAAATGAATACAAATAAAATAGTTCATAAAGTCCTTTCCACAATTAAGTGACCATAGGTGTATGAAGGTCTTCCTCCTTATAAAGGTGACTGGTAATCAGATAGAAAAAATGCGCACTCACGCGCGACCGCTGACATTTTAAATGCGCCTTTGTGCACTCTTATGCGGATGACCTGCCAGACATGCAGATCCTAAGGACACATGGACCATCCCTCTCAAATACTGACATCGGCCTTGGGTGCAGTACCTCCAGGTATATAGAGCCCTTTCGTTCCAAAAGATAGGCAGGCAGGGGGTCCCCCTCCTGGTTTCCAGGTACCCCAGAAATGGTAGATGCAGATCTGAAACCCTCCAGAAAAGAGGGTCAAGAAAGAGGGAATGCCAATAGTGTAGTAGGTTCAAGAACTTTATTGGATCAACAGTAATTAGGCCATGGTTGCATGTACCCACAAATACCGTTAGCCGTCCAAGCAGACTGGTAAATATGAAAATAAAACATGTACTAACCCGGCAAAGATCAAAGACCACCGGACCTCCTCGTGGTTCCCAGTGGTTAGGAAGTCACACTTGCTACTGGCTCCTCCTGAGGCCTTTCGTGCCACAGCACTTCATCAGAGGGTTGGATGCCATTAGCAGTGTGACAGAGAACTTCCCTATTTAAATGCGCTTCGCGCATGCGCGAAAATCCCGCTCTATCGCTCAAAATCTAAAAGAAATGGGACCAAGAGCCATAGCGCATGTGCGCGAACGGCCGCCATTTTGCCGTGGATCGCGGCTGTGCAGAAACGAACTGCGCAATGCGCCGCCCGATCGCCGCCATATTGCCATGGATCAACAGACAGTAAGCTGTAGAAAACGGCAGCAGCTGTCAGGGGGATGTATACAGAGCAAAACCGTCGGGAAGAAATACATGTGGAGCACACCAAATAAGTGCAGGTTCCCCATGATTAGAGACAGAGAGGTAAATGGCGCCATCAGAGAACCTCCAATCTGGATATATGCCATCCACTCTGAACCTTCACCCCCAAATTAAGTGGCCAAAATATAAGCACCCAAAATAAGCGGCGGGGTAACAGAGAAGGGGTAAATAGGCACCATCAGAGAACCCTAAGTCCTCAGGTCAGGATATATATGCCATCCGCTCTGAACCTCCACCCCCAAATAGGTGGCCAAATATAAGCCACTATTTATGTTGTAAGGGCCAGGTATCCCTTATTACAATAATTGTATCCATAGGCATAGGGGCTTAAACCGGTACCCATATGCATACATAGAATCTCCACGTTAAATGGGGCCACTATATGTTCCAAAAAAGCCCCGTAAAAGGAGAAAAAAAACAAACAGGTAGTATTTCAGGGAATATATACTAAAATATAGGATATAAAATATTAAAATCATTAAAGGTGTCTAAAAACATAATATAAATTTCCCCGCAAAAGCAGGAGAAAAAAAAATTATATACATTCGCATTTTGCCATCCTAATGGCTAAAATAATTCAACAATCATCATTATCAGACAGATAATACACATAAATGATATGAAAATTTCATGCAGCACTACACCATATCACAGGACAAGTGGTACACGCAATGGGGGGGACATACCATTGCCTCAGCTATTGGCAATGAAACAATTTATATCCACCTCAACATTGTGTCCATTGAGGGTTAAAGAGTACGTAATTCAATAGACCCAGCGGGTCTCAGCCTGGGAAACAGTTCTGGTCTTGTGGAAGTCCCTCCAATGCGGGGATATCATCTGCCTCTATGCCCATAAATTTTAATGAAGTAGGGTCACTATTATGGACAAGCCTATAATGATTAGATAACGAGTGGTCCCTATAGCCTTTTCTAATGTTCGCCACATGTTCCCGCAGGCGGTCTCGTAGGCGTCTGGTTGTCCGTACCTACATACTGTTTCTTGCAGGGACAGCTAAGAAGGTAGACCAACAAATTTACTGTGACATGTTATACACTGTTTGATGTCATAAGACCTCCCAGTTGATGTTGAGGTGAAAGTGTCAATTCTCCTTTTTACGGGTATTGTCACACTTGCATATGATGCATTTATTGCATGGGTAAACCCCTTCAATTCCCTGAAAAAGGACAATTCAGCAGGGGGGTCCACTACATTAGGTGCAATACGATTTCTGATGGCGTGGGCTCTCCTAAACATGATCTCAGGGTTTGTTGGGCGTAACAAAATTTGTGAAAGGACAGGGTCCATCTTCAAAATGTCCCAGTTCTTCTTAATTTAGTCTTCCTACCTGTCTATACTGTACCGAGAACGTGGTTACTAACGGACATATTCTCTCATGTGTTCTCTTTGGTTTATACGACAGCATCCTCCTTCCTATCCAGACCTGCAACTTTGGCCAGAGAGTCATCAAGATCAGCCTCTCTATATCCCTTTTCCAGGAATCTGTTTTTTAAGAAGATACTCGCTTGAGACCGATAATGTCTCAAGATCCGTACAGTTACGCCTGATTTCGGGTGAATTGGCCCTTCGGTATATTATTAAGCCAGTTCGGATTGGTGACAGCTATTTCACAGGGATATAGCTG